TCCTTTACTCGGCCTCGATTCCTCGTAGCGTCCTGGCTTTCGGAGAAGCTTAACCAGTTGTGAACCTTGCCTATGGTGTTCTAAAAGGTTATACGGGTGTACGCCGATCGGATTGCTCGGGTCAGAGAGGGTGATACTGTCTAGGGTAGTGTTGGACATAGCTCGAGAGGGTGGTTGAGTTGTCGTCCAGTCTGTGCGACCATTTTATATGAGAAATGGCTTACCATTGCAATTGATTTATGAACTTGAAGGCTCGGCTCCGTGGTTTCCTGAGCTGTTGAAATAACACCTGTGCGCAGCGGTGACTCACACGAACTGGAAATGGTGGGCAACCCATCCCTGGCCCATCTGAGAAGGTGAATTTCGGCTATGTTTCTTTGGTGTTTACCCAAAAAGCCTGATTGAGCCTAGTACCCAGTCTGATAGTAATAGAAGTGTGCTTGTCTTTTGTTACATATTTAGGCAATCCGACAGACATTAATATAAGCCGTTACCAGCGAGCAATGTTCCATTACTCAAGAGCACCAAAGGCTGTTGCGGCGTCAGGAACTGAACAGCAGTGGATAAAATTGGTTGAGGAAATCACCGCGCATGATAGCCTCGGTCGAACACTACCGTATGCGCGCAAAAGAGTTTTGGGCAAACGTTCAGGAGCAGTTCTCAAAAAGAAACAGGGAAACAACAGTATGTCCCCATGTGTACATCGTTAGATTCAATCTAGATCCTTTTCACCAATCGAGCAGGACTTGCACCAGAGCCACGACCTGACTGCCTCCAGCTTCATCGGTGTAATTCCACGGAATTCTGCTGTTGACGCCCAGGGGGTTTTGAAACTCGGACAACACAATGGACCGGGGTCTCCCATATTTGCTTCTCGGCACCATGCACAAACCTCACCAGATGCTTCGGTGCATACATAACCCAAGAGAAACCACTAGTCGACCTTCGTCACACGCCTTAACCGGGTACGCCGGACACGTAGATACGAGATAATATTTTACAAATCACCCACGATCGCTACAGCAATGCTCATGAGTCTAGCCAGGGTCACAAATCAAGGGAGAGTCATGTTTCTGGCCCATCCACGATCACAACGCTACTCGACTGGGCAACTTCGCAGTCATCCTTTCTCGATACGCATCGACGGTCAGGTGGACTTCTCCCACTGACGCTCAGCAGGGCATCCAACTCTTTCACTCTCCTCTCCCAACCTTCTACATCGGCGAGCTTCTCCTCGAGGCTCTTCATCTCTTTATTAATTTCCATCCTCTCCTCCGCAGTGCCAACGCGCGCGAGAGTCCACTGCGCAGAGCCAGATGAGTCGAGGTTTAGTGTGAGCAGTTGCTTGTGATATTTTGTGAGTGACGGTCTGTATCGATCAGGTGATGGCCGAAAATAATAAGAGAATGCGATCGGAAGAAGCATGATTATGCGCAAGGTTAGACGCGGGGTCGTTGGTAGTGGGTCAGGCTCACCGTAAGGATATGGTTATCAAAGTGACGCCGATTGCTTTCAGAGCCTCGTACATCCTGCCTTCCACATCGCTTGAGACAGCGCTGGTGCACTCGTCGAGGATTGCGTATCGGGGACGATGATAAAACACGCGCGCCAAACTCATCTGCAAGGTTCAGGTCGTGATAAGTAACCGATTCGAAAGCATGAAGACCCGGAACAGGGACGAGATAAGTAACCGGTCCGAAGAAGCAGAAGAGAGAATTGAATGAATGAACGAGAACCCGAAACAAGAGCGCAAGGAACAGAGCATCAGAAAAAAGTCTGGAACCAGGACCAAGAATACGTACACGTTGCTTCTCCCCACCACTTAACACGTCCCTCCACTCCTTTCTCGTCGCCCAACCCCCCTCCCTCTCCGGCAAATACCGCAAAAACACCTTCTCCAATATCTCTTCCAATTGCTCCACTGTCCTCCCCGATTGTACAAATTCAGCATACGTGTGTGGATAAATAACCTGATCCAGCAAGCTCCCCGCAACCATGTACGCGCGTTGCGGAACGACAAATACTGAGGGGTTTTTGTGCAAATGGGCGTCTGAAGGTGTGTGCACTTTTGTAAACGGGCCTGAGGGTGCCCAGAGCCCTGCGAGGACCCTTGCGATAGCGGTTTTACCAACGCCATTGGAGCCTGTTATCATTAAATGTTCAGTAGGCCGAACGATGAATGAGAGGTCTTTGACGAGAGGTGGTGCATCGTCTGCTCGAAAGAATTCATTAGCCATGCGATTGACGGGAGGAACGCGATGAGCTTGCGATTGGATTATGTACGTAATAACTTACTGCTGCCGGGAATCGAGATGTCTACATTTTGTATTTCGAAAGACCCATCCAAACTGACTTCGCCTTCCGGCGCCTTTGGCAAGTTGTGCAGCGTAGAGATCAGAGTGTACAGCCTTGTCGTGAGGCCAGCGAGTTCCAACAAATCCTTGTATGCATACATCAATCGTCCACCCGCATCGGCCAGAGATAACAAGAGCCTCCGGTTAGATATGTAGGCTGTCACAGGTTGGAAAACGAGTCAACAAGTCAACATCGAGTTTTGAAACATCATCTCAGATCAGATGAAGCCAAGGAAGTTCTTACTTTCAGTTCGACCAGCGACAGCATCGTCCTTCGCCTTCCTCTTCCGTTCCTCCGAGGAGTCGGCTTGTATTCCAAGGGATCGTTGTGTGCGCGTGAATAAGAGGGGCACAGCAATCAAACCATAACCAGCTGCAGACCAGAGGTACTTGATGACATAGTCTTCAGTCCACTCATAGGCAATACGGATCTAAGAAACGTGATTATCATATCGCTTAACAAACGACCATCCTCAAAAGGAAAGGAAAAGAAGTAAAGCGGCCATAGAGCTCCTTGCCAGCGAGAGCACCACCCACAGACGTGATCGTGGTCAACACGCGTCGAGCCGAGCTCCGTTCACAAAAAAAGACTACAGGGAACTTCGCGATAGAGCGCTCCCCGGTGTTGTCGCGGATAGAAGACGCCTTGTACCAGGACTTTGGATGGGATACAAGTTCGTTGGAGTAATGTTTCACTCGTGTCCGACAGACCCCTGGGCAAGGGAAGACGGGAAAGAGAAGTACCTTGTAAATTGAGTTCACGTGTTTGATGAGGCGCAGGTATGCCCGGGTCAAGATGTCCTTTTCGCGCCCGCCACCATCATAGAATCTAATGCAATTAAAAAACATTAGTCAAGGAAAGTCAAAGTTAAACTACGACTTACGCCACCTCTTCGCTTTCCCTCCCGACACGACCGACACCACGGCGGTATTCGCCCTCCAGGCGAGCCTCGACTGCTGCTAGACGTCCAAAGGCAGGTGTCACAGCCCTACGACGAGCCAAAAATAGAACAAAGGGACGGGGGTAAGAACGAGGTATGTGATACGGAAAAACTGGATGAGCAAGCGCACCGTAGAATTCTGACTGTGGCATAATAATTCAAGAACAGAAGCAATGTCCCGCGTACTCCCAGGGATCTCGACAACTGTGAGGTGAAAAGGATGATATCCAAAGACGGCTTCAATAAATTTCCGCTGTGAAGTGGTAAAACAGTTAGTACTGGGTGGGTCTGAGGGTCCAAATCCGAAATGGAAGTGTTGTGGAATAACGCAACCAGAGGCGGACTTACTAGAGTCCGCTGAGGCTTCCAGCCCAGGCATCCACGTCCGCAGTGATATATTGATCCACGCCTTCGAGTTTACCACTGAGGCCGACCTGGTAGTAGCGTGCTTCGGGATAGGATGAGAAGTAGAGGTCATGGACGTAACGTGTTATGCGGGTGCGGAGCCGAAGGTGGAGAACGGACTGGAGGTGGCGTATCTGGAATATTTAGAGAAATTAAGTGGACGGTTAGATGAACTATTGTAAATGAAAGTGGGAGAAAGTCTCAGACAGTATCAAGTCGAGGTGAACTTACCATGGAGTTGGTGTAAGTGCTTGGAATGGCCAGCAGGAACCAAAGTCCGAGACCCCTGAGGAACCCTCTTCCATCAGCTTTAACCTATGGACAAAAAAATGAGGCTGGTATAGTGTTTCAAAGAGACGCGAATATACCAGATCTCGCACGATCCGACCGTCAAGGCGAGCAACCATGATGCTGAGCACGGTTCTAAGTACCAAGAACCCTGAGTGCATGAGAACGATACCCAGTTCCCTGTTGCGCCATAGCGTGGCAGGTGGGAAAATGATGTTCAATAAGATGGAACGCAGTTGTCGTAGAAAAGCGAGGTCGAGATTTGGCTTCGTCTGAACACTTGCTGAAAGCAAAGGAAAGGCATCTTTGTCGGCAGAGTGTGCGGATGGCTCCGGAAGAAGAACCTGTCCGAGGTCAGATTGTGGCTTCAAGGCAACACAGAGCCGAGTAAGACTTCCAGGGCGTAAAATGCTCATAAACAGGGACAGCACTAATGAGCAATCGCAGCGCCCGAGCCAATTGGTGTAGCTCTTTTGGCAGTGGTGGCGAGGAGTTCAAACAGAATGCTCACTTTCTGCACACCGCCCTCATACGGCACAAGCAACCAAATACGGCCTTGTTCATCTTCTTCATAGATTTCTTGCAGTGTTTGTTTTAATTGATCATCGGCGGATGCCTTCTGTTTACCCTTGTCATTATGTGGATCGGCCGATGTGCGAGTGAAGGCACTGCGCAAGGCTCTGCCAGGGAGTGCACGAAGTAGCAGTAGGGTGCCAATAGCCAGAAGGAGAGTCCGTTTCGACGGACGATGTTCATTGAATGAATGTAACGGGAGTGGTTTCGAGAAGATCGCCATTGTGGGCGTCACCAGTTGCACTACAGCCCGTGGAGTCTGGAAGCTGTAGAAAATAGCCAATGGATCACCGTTCTTCTGCAAGTGCGGTAGGTTGTAGTTGATAAGTGCAGATGCTAGGGAGCCTTTGCATGTGAATGTGAATGAAAGCATAAGCAACATTGTACATGTGATTTCCCTGTCTCGGCTATCATCATAAATTCGCAAATGCCACCGTCGGGTGCTATAGTGTAGTGGTTATCACTCGGGATTTTGAAGCTGTTCGAGTTTCCCGAAACCCAGGTTCGAACCCTGGTAGCACCTTCTACTTTTTTTTTCGAAGTTGTCGAATAACAATAGTCCCCTTTCTTCAAACTCTTGCACGAGGTCTACTGTTGTGAACACATCTGTACAACATAGCCCCCGCCTGTTGCATACTTTGTGAAAAACGGTCCAGGCCGCATTGGTTTATTTCTTCTGATCGATCTATATCTAGATTCCAGCGAAGCCACAGGAGTCATTCTTGATGCATGATGCCTCACCACATAATAAAAATGGAATCCCTCGAGGAGCGAGGTACGGAGGATATGAATGAGACGTATGTTCATGATATCATGCTGCTCGGGGTGTAATGCCAGTTGCATCTCATTTCATGACCGGTTGGAACAGCAAGCCGGCACCGATCGCCCAACAAATGATTCACTTTATCCTTGATCACCTACAGATTACCTACAGCCATTCATAAATTCATAGGTTTCGTAGATCGCCCAACAAATGATTCACTTTATCCTTGATCACCTACAGATTACCTACAGCCATTCATAAATTCATAGGTTTCGTAAACTGCGCGGTGTCATCTTGTCGAGCTGATAAGCCTCTTGGTCCCGTTGTAAATCGAGATGTGTCAAAGGCCCCAGTCAAAAAGTCGGACCACTTTTGCCGACTTGCGAGATTAAGAGTCCTCCCCAGTCAAAAAGTCGGACCACTTTTGCCGACTTGCGAGATTAAGAGTCCTGGTCTTTAGACACGCTGGAGTAGCGAGTCCACCCTGCTTGCGGAGGTAGGGGGTTGGGGGTGTTGGCTACGCAAGTGGAATACGTATCAAAACTCTTGGTTTTCCATCTATAAATACACTGGACCGGTAGACAAATAATACATGTGTTATAAAAATCTCGCTCCATATATGGTATATTCGGCCCAGTAAATAGTCATTTCAAAGTCAGATACTTTGTGAACCATATCTGGGGTAGTGCCACGGTACTATTAAGTAGTCCATCCTGCTCAGGGAGCCAAAAATGTGCATTTAATGAATCATAATATAAGGTGATAGATTCTAAGAGTGTTGATAGGCGCGCCCGGGCCGTGAATATAGGGGTCACCGAGTTCTTCCACGATCTTCAGAATGCAGGCTTCCCTAGTAAACGACATCCAAGTCAATTAATTTGTATTACTACTAGACACTACAATTGGGAGCTTTACATTAGTACCCATCGGGATCGGGCCCAGGCGACACGCGTGAAGATTCGTTAAGAACCTAGATGATCCAGTGCGTCTACCTTGTCTGGTTCAAGTCACACTATTATGACTAGTCTGCCCTACCAGTTGTGCATGAACTTCCATTTCAGTTATAATAGATCGAGAGATTAATTGACCAACTACCAGCATGTTTCCAAATCCTCCATCTGGGACAAATCCTTCCGTTCACGGAATAGCGCAGCACTGGCCTGGCAGAAATATCACAAATTACCGGTCCCCGGCCTACAGCATGCTGGAGTGCCAAGTCCTTCCTATCTGCGGAGACAAGATATTAGGAACATCAGTTATACACGAAAAATCTGCACTGTGTAGATAACTGCGGTATTGCCTGGACCGGATTTTGAACGTCTCCGATACATCCTCTAGGCTTTTGGGATAGGGGCGCGTCTCGGATTGGATCACGTGCTCATTATTGTTTCGTAAATGGCTTTTTTGAACAGTGTCGGCGTAAACAAATGAATAGCCGTTGTTAGTGCTATGTAGTAACGGGCAGAAAATTCCGAATAGTTGTAGACTCTAAATGGGGCAGCGCAGAAGCTGATGAGAGTAGGTGAGGATGGCACGACATGGAGGAAGAACGGGTGTTGGTTAGCAGACTCAATCGTGCGGCAGTAATCCATCGGAAGCGAGGAATGGTTCTTGAGAGCGTCAGACTGAGCATTGTGATTAATTCATTCTAGGAGCAGGAAAGCAACCAATACATATATGATTAAGGCTAGGCCTGCCGGAGTATATCAGCCCCTTTTCGTCGCAACAAAGAGTAACACTCACATTAAGTAAATGATTTTAGCAGTCACTGGGAGTCCTCAGCCTGTGCTTCCAGCGGCTTCATCAAGTCCCCTTCCACGCCTCCCATCCGCTCGCAAATCTCAAGAACATCCTCATGGAAAGGCAATGGCAGGCCACCGTTCTTGCCATCAAGCAACAAGTTCGGTAGTATCCGCGTGTGGAAAGCACGGTGTGCTACTGAACCCCCCTACAAACAAAAAACAAATCAGCAACACCCCGAGAGGAAAAGTGTGAATGAAAACGCACAAATTGCTCGTAGATAGCACCCGTGACCGCAGCAACAGCATCGCCCTGAACCTTATACAACCCCACGCTCTGAAGCAAAGCGTCCTTATCCCCAGGTCCTGTAAGTCTCTCCTTGGTGACAGTCGGCACCCAACGCATCACGCGTCCAAGACCCCATTTCGAACCAACGTGTTGACCGAGGGTATACGTATTCAGTGTCCAATTCGTGATAAAATGGAAGTCATGCGAAGGCTTGAGGTTTTTACTCGAATTGAGGAAAAGAAGCAAGTACGACTCCAAGACTCTGCGACCTGCAGCACGTCAACTACCAGCCCTCCAAAACAGCCAAAGACTCAACGTACCGAGGAAAGACATTCCGGCATTATGGCCGTTGATAGACGAGGGATGGCTGGCATGCGTGAGACAGCGTCTGGCGACTTCCGTGTTAAAGTCGAGAGGCTTGAAGAGCGCGTTGAGATGGGTCGCAAAGTGTGGCTCTGGTTTCATCTGCCACAGAGGCGTTGGCTGCGCTGCCTGACCGAACTTTTCCCGCTTGCCCCATGCTGAACTTGTTGAGTTCGTCCGGGGTGTTGGTGCCGATGAGGACATGTAGTCGGCGTCATTACGCGCCTTGAGCATGGCCTGTGCATAACCTCGGGTGCCAGTTGAAAGTGCCGAGGTTCTGAGGGAACATAGTGGGGTACAAGTTCTGCTGAGGGCACGTACTGAGCGGGACATTGTAGCTCTAGAACTTTCACGCTTTCACCCATGCCAATTCCAAAAAAATGGACGATCACGTGATGACAGCCCCACGAGTTGTTTCATTAGTGAGAGTTTGTGATGATGAATTAGTTTACTACGTTGATCTGTTCCCATCCTGTCAGAGTTTCTTGTTGTCGCTGTCGCTCTCGACGACGCCGCCGGCGCACTTTCTGCGCACCACAAGACGGCGTCCAGCACGGCTCTCGTCTGCTGAGCATCACCAGTTTCACACTCCACTCATATCGTAATGGACGCCAGTACCACCCGATATCCTTCTTCTCGCACCAGGGTATGTCCGCAATTTGACCCTAAAGAACTACTCGTAATCCACAATTATGTACAGATTAACCCCCCCAGTCTTCCTTCACCGCCCTCGCCGGCTGTTTCTTCTCCAGGTCTAACGCTTTCAGCCTCAAATTCATCCAGTTCGCCTCCCCAGCCTACAACGCCGCCAAGGCAACCCAGGCCACGCTATCCAGACTTGGGCCGTGTGCCCTTACACCGCCGAGGCACATCCCAGACATACGAGAATCTCGAAGATCTTCTCCGCGAAGCGGGCTACAAAGAAACTAGGATATTCACCCCCGAGTCTGAACGCCTGGAGTCTCAGAAACATGGCGAATCTGGAGAAAAGACCAAACAGGGCGTTGGAGCTGCTGTCGTTGGATTTCTGGCGGGTCTGGTTACGGGCGGAACTGCGTCTGTCCAGTCGAGACAGTCTGATGATAATCCAGACCAACAGCCGCGATTGTCCCGAGTCGAATGTCCTTCGTCGCCCCTTGCCAACAGGCGCCGAGAGAGCTCGCGGAGTGCCGAGTCTAGCGAGCCCCAGACCCCATTCATGACTTCCTCGATTGAAAGTTTGGGTGATCCCACTCCGAAAGCCTTCCGTCGGCAGCCATACTCGTATACGACCCCACAAGCTCAAGCACGCGAACAATCCTCTTCACGCCCCTCGACGCCGACTGCAACCGCTTCGGCATATCACGCTCAGCCTTATCATGCATCATCATCGTCATCGTTCTTCCACCCCCCTTCTACTCAACAGCAACCTCCCCGCAGATTATCAGCTGCTCAACGCCAACTCCGAGAACAAGCCTCCAAGTCGTCCATCCGTACTCACACCACTACAAGCCCGAACCCCAATATCACTTCACCATATGAACAAGGCACCAACAATAACACAAATACTATTCACCAACCTCAGCCTCGTCCCTCACGTGCGGGTGCCTACCTCCGTCACATGGCCTCAACGCCCAACAACATCCTCCCACCTCGCCCCAATTCCACTCCCGTCCACACCCACACCCACCCAAGAAACCGCCCCCTCCCCGACGACTCCTCCGCAACAACCACCGATCCCGAAACCTCCCCACCCCCTCCTCTCCCACGTAAATGGCTAGAAAACGTCGCACGCGCAATTCTCCTCGGCGTAACACCCACCCCCTCCACCACCGATACACACCCCACCCAACATCAACACCCGCCTTACTACACCAAGACCCTCCGTCAAACCCGTAGCTCACTCTCCCAAACAACTTTCATCCGCTCCTCCAAAGCCACACGTCGTTCCGGCCTTTCGGATCAAACCAACTTTCCCCACCCAGCTGCTAATACTGCCACAATCACATTGAGCCCCCCGGCCTTGTTTACCCGCCTTGAACGTGGGCGCGCTCCGAGTACTCAGACTCAGGTTCTTAAAGCCCAAGTTGTATGTCGGAGTGCGCCTGGGAGTCGAGCGTCTTCACTCGTACGGCGGAATAGTGGCGGTGGCGGGGGCAGTGGTATCGGTTACGTGAGAGGGAATCATCATCATCATCATCATCATCGAGACTTTGATAATGGGAAAGGCGCCAGCGGCGGTGCTGGTGCGAGATTAGCGCGTAGGAGAACACATGGTGGTAACAGCAGTAATAACAAAGAAACTAGAAGTGCAGGAACTCACGCAAAACGTCACAACCGTCGAAAGAAAGATCCTAAAGATTCTGACAAGACCTACGTCCCAAGTCTTG